GTAGCATGTTCCTCTCCTCACTCACTTCTGCCAGCATGGCACCCTTGAGTACCCTATCACTCTTGTCCTGGCACCTGAGAAGCTGCAATCACCTACTTTTAATCATGCTCTCTTTCCCGATTTGACTACTCTCATGTCTCAAATGTAGGATTTCCCAAGGTTCTATCTTCAGTTTCCCTGTCCTGTTTTCTTTCCCTGTTCATTCTTTGTCAGGATAATCCTATCTGCCCCTATGTTTTATCCCAAACAACTCTTTACCTCTTCTAAATTCACTGTTCAGGTACTGAACAGCCTTAGTTCCTAGTTTCAAATATCTCTTATATCCTTCTCACTTCCCTTAAGGAGAACTAGATTGCTATAGTCATTGTAACAGTCATTAGACGCTACAATACATATACATTGAACACTTACTACATGTTATCCATTGCTTAAGGTGCTTTGCATGGATTACTAAATTTCACTATCACAACCTTGGGAAAGAATGATCATCTTCATCTTATTGATAAACAAATTGAAGACCAAGAAGTTAAAGAACTAACTCAGCATCACACAAACATCAGGATCTGAACCCAGGCCTCTAGTTCCAAAGCTAAGTTTATAAACAAGTGTTTCCACAGCCTTGGGCACTCATCAGTCTGACTGCTCCTCACGTGGGACATATTTATGGAACACATGCTGCAGGCAGGTTCTGTAATCTAGTGGGAGATGCTGAGGGATAGCTAGGCAATCATGCCTCTGGCCTGTGGTGGGGCAGGGGTGTGGGGACCACAGAAACACCTGGTCTTTAGGGACAGCAAGGACTGGAGAGAAGGTATTATCTTGGCTGAAGCTGACATGACAACCAGGGTACAGCCAACTACAGAGGCAATGCATAGGGTCATGGGAATGGGTGCTTCAAAGTACACTTACAATGGGCTTAACTGTTCTGACACTGAGCATTTCAGCCTAGGATACCACAAGAATACTGAGGCCAATCCCCAAGACAGGAAGCACAAAGAAGCTGGAGTGAAGGGAGCGTGATTTTAGGATACCAAGTTAAACATGCCAGGGAAACATCCAAGAGAAGCTCTCCAGCAACTACTCATTGCCAGAAGTCTAGAGAATGCAGTGCCAGCCTCACCTGGCTGGAGAGTTTTGAGAATGGAGTCATTCTCCAAGATCCACCAGTCAAATTTCAGTCTTAATAACTGAATGAGGGCCCAATAATCACCCAAATGCATGGCTTCTGCTGAGCCATGCTGAGGACTGCAAATTGGACCTGAGGCCCCTTCTTACCCTCCACCTAGACGCCTATTTACTTGGCAGGTATATGTTCCAGCCCAGAATCTATGCATGCATTCCTTTAAAGGACCACAGGTGTGCAACAACAAATCCTATCAGGCAGACAGAGAGAGTAGTGGCAGACCCAGACACTTGCCTTTCAATGAGTGATGTCCCCTCGTGGAAACACTAAGGGAGATGATAAATTTACCCTCCTTTCAAGATAAATCAGAATGATGAGCACAGCAAAAGAGCAGATTAGAACTGCTGACTCTTCCCTTAAACATCTCTAAAAATACAAGCAACAACCAGGTGGGATTGAGAAGAATGAAGAAACAGTGGTAACATACATTGGAATTTTCTTTTTCCATTCACAAAGTTACCTTCCTGAAATTGTATGCAAGGGCCTAGATATTCAAGCTGTGACTAGCAGCGACAACACATGGTGTTAGGTCAGGCTGGATCTAACTGTCAGTCTCCTTAGAGAAACCCAAGACTTCCTCACTCTTCCCACTGCTCCCTCACTGACACTAAAGGGGTCTTAGAACTGAGCATTTGGAGGAGCAATTCCCTGGAAGGATACCGGACAAGGAAGATGTCAGAAAAAGGCAGTCTTGTCAGAGCCAAAAATTACCCCAGGAAAAAGGATAGGGAAGGAAAACAAGTGTCATGGTAGGAAAAACTAAAGATGAGACTTAGACATACACAAGTCCCTCTCCACAATAAGCTATCTTGCTTCCTTCATGAAAATTGTATACTGCTTCTGTTTAGCAGCTGCAAAGCAGAACAAACCAAGGGTTTCCTTCACTATTTCTTGACTTTTGGAGTACAACTACTACTGCAAATGCTAGTCTTACTTTCATAGTTCCAGGTTTCACAACACATACCTAGCAAGGATGTGACAAGCCAGGAAAATGCACTTTTAGTGAAAAACTCACTGAAAATCAAGCTAAGATTCCACATGATTTTCTATTATGTATGTAAGTTAATGCTCCTCTACTACAAATGATAAATGTGTTTCCATTCTAATTTTTCAATGAAAGGGCCTGGACAGGTCACACAATCATAAAAGGTGCTGCCCCTCAAGATGTGGAAAATTAGTTTTAAAATTTTATTGAAAAAATGATGGAATAGAATTTCATAGCAAAAGAATAGAATAGCAATAATTAATACATTGCATATTGTCATCTTCAAAGTAGTTATTCTGCATACAAGATATGAGCATAAAAATTTCTCTAGTAAATACTAGCACAAACCTTCTTTTCCAATGACCTAAGAGATACTAATAGACAACTTGAATTTTTCTCTCTTTTCCCTTTCTTTCTTTCCTTTTTACCCCCTTCTAGTTCCTTTTAAACCACTACTTCCCATTTTGCAGTATACATTCTAGACTTTATTTACACTTTCAATTTCTCACACCAGGAAGCCAATATGATGTTAACACATGTGAGTCTGATTTATTTCACTTATGAGTATGGTCTTAAGTACCATCCATTTACCTATGAAAGTTTATCCTTCTTTTTTGGCTGAGTCATATTCCATTGTATAAAAATACATCTGTTTTAATATCACATCTTTTTATCCATTCCTCAATTCATAGGCATTTAAGTTGCTTCCAAGATTTAGCTAATACAAATTGTGCTGCTATAAACATGGTTGGACTTATATTGTTGCAGTATGATGTTTTTAATTCTTCTAGGACGATATCTAGAAGAGAAATAGCTGGGTCAAATGGGACCTCTAATCCTAACTTTTTGAGGAACTTCCAGACTGATTTCTACAGTGGTGGCATTCCCATTCCCATTGTTGAGGGGATAATATGGCCCCTGCTCAATTGGCTTCCTAGAAATAGGCACAGCCCTAGAGAGGCTAAGTAGTTTTTGTTCACTCATTTCTTCAGAAGTGTTTACTCTGTACCTCTGAAAGTTTGGGGACCACGGTAAACAGACATAAGCAGGAGGAAGGCAGCTGACATGCGTGTTTCAGTGTCCCCAGTCAGATTACCTTTACTCTGCAAGCATATCCATTCCCCAGCTGCACAAGGGTCGGCTACTACAAATTCATAGCTGCTTTCTTCTCTAAAGAACCATCCTTCACTGATGGGAGCCCTGCCATCCAATCCTGACCCCAAGAGCACACAGACAATGACTGATTGTGAAATATAAAAAGTCACTTCCTTGCCTCTAAGAGAGAGAATCCTGTGAAACAATGTATGTATCAGAATCTTCCTAAAGTGATCAGCCCAAGGCTGGGCTTTGCTGAGACCCCACCACTGTTTTGCATTTCCCCTTCCAACTTTTGGCTCACTCTCTTCCTTTCCAGCATTTTCCTGAAACAGATTCCCTCAACAAATCATTTTCAAGCCTCACCTCAGGCTCTGCTTCTAGGACCTGAGACTCTGTAACATGCTCCCAGAAGAGGAGACTAACAGCACTTTACTGTGTTTTTCCATGGTCTTTCTGCTTCTGCTTCGGGTCAGTCTGCCATATCACCTGTTTGGGGGAAGTCAGCCAATGTGCTATGAGAAAACCCAAGCAGTCCTAACAAAGCATCTGCGTAGCAAGGCAGAGAGGCTTTCTGCCAATGGCCATCTCAGCAGTGAGCCCTCCAGTCCCAGATTTGTCTTCAGGTGACTGCATCCTGGATGGCATCTTGACAGCAGCCTCGTGAGAGACCCTGAGCCACAACCACCCAACCATGTCATTCCCAAATACCTGATCTAGAGAATTAATAAATGTTAGCAGTTTCACACTTCTGTGTTTTAAAGTTACTCTAATACATCTAGAATCTGGGATCTAGATAGGTAGAGTAAGCTTGAGGGGTGGGGAGAAGAAAGGGAAGAGGGCTAGAGCTGGAGGAAGGCAGCAGAGTAGATCGTACATGGTCTTACAGATGTGCATTGTCTGCAGGCACTCAGCATCATCCGCCCTTCCATGCTGCTCTCTACACTGCAGCAGGAAGAAGCCTGGGGATGTCTAGTCCCCTTTTTAAGTAATTCCTTGAGTTAATCTCTTATACTATGAAATACTGTAGTAGTTTCTGTTAACCTGACCAGTCTCTGACTGATACATATCCATGATGAGGATTTGGAACTTATTCTGAGAACTGTAGGGACAACTGATGGTCTTTAGTTTAGAGAAGTGATGTGATCTGCTTTGTATTTCATATTTTTTGGCTCCACTGAGTAGCAAGAACTGGAAGCAATCCATACTGGGGTAAGGGAATCCAATTAGAACACTGCAAACGGAAATAAGATAAGGGGTGATGGTTGGTAGAAATGTGAACAAGCAGATTTGTGATCTATTTAGATTGCAAAAGGGATACATCCTTTGGTAATTGAAAGAATGTGACAAGTGAAAGAAAACAAAGAGTAAGTAGGACTCAGGTTTTGACCTTGGATAATTAGTACATGGTTGAGATAAAAATAATTTAAAACAAAAGGAAAGAATTATGGCTGTATAAAAACTGAGTAAAATTAAGCAGATCTGTCATAAAGCAATGCTGGAACAAACCACTTATTTTTTGTTAGTACCTCCCAAATGGGAGTACTGAGGAGCACAGCTCTATGAATTGTCTAGGGCAAAAATTGTCAAATTTTTCTGTAAAGTAAAAGAGAATAAATATTTTAAGCTTTACAGATCATGCAATCTTGCTTGCAAATGTGAAACTCAGCTGTTATGCTTAAGTAGCTACAGACGACACAGTGAATGGATATACCTGTGTTCTAAGAAACTACTTACCAAAGCAAGTGGTAAGACAGATCTGGCCTGTGGACTATTATTTGCCAGACCCTGGCATAAAGACAAAAAGAATCCACAAGTGAGTTAAGGAAACACTGCATAGTCTCTCCACTTGGATACTTATGGAACACAAAGCATATTCCATGCTCTGAAATTCTGTGGAGTAAAGACAGCTACTTGCCTTTCCTTAATACATCAGTTCTCAGACTTATTTGGCTTCAATTTCCTATTCTCATATAATTCCTATTAACATCCAGCAGAAGTAATATTCTGTGGAACATACTTCTGGACACAATGACTATGAACTGGGTTTTAGAAGAATAAAAGAAGAAAATTATCTTTGACTTAAACAACTTATACCACGGTCCACACCTAGTCCTTGAAGAGGAACAGTCCCCAGCATGGTTGACAGATCCAACTCCAGGGGACCCTGCTGCGTTCCCTTCCCACTCCTGCTTTGGCCAAGAGTATAGAGGCAGGGTGGAGATGGGGTTGCTTCCTTGCTTCCTCTGTCCCTCATTCCTTCCCTGGCATATCAGCTTTTGTTTCTGCTCCCAACTACTTCTCTGCATGAATGTATTTAATGGACTCCTTTAAAACTTTCAGGACAAAAACAATACAAATCATTCATGTTAACAGTTGAGGCAGATGACTATAATAATAATAAATTTTAGATTTTTAAATTTAGCTTGAAACATTATGTCTTAAATTCCACTTCCACTGAGGCAGGCTAGCTCTACCAAGGTCCTAATGCCCGCATCTGAGACCAGGTACTCATCACACCTCCTTCCTGGGCCACTGCCAAAACTGTAGCCAGTCTTTCTCAGCCTTCAGTTTCTTTCCGTGTCTGATCAACCATCAAACCACTGAGAAATTAATCTTGTAAAATACAAACTCATCAAAACTTTTTCTCAAAGCTCTTCAGTGTGTCTCCAAGGTCTAGAGCACAAAACACAATCCTTCAGTCAGATAAATGTAGTCCATCATTTGATTCTGATTTTTTCAACTTTTAAAATTTTTATAAGTACATGTTTGCAGTACCTAATGATTACATTCATCATGGGCACATTATCTCTGCATCTTAACTGGGTTAGTTCATCCATATAGAACTTGCTACAGGTACATAAATATTCCCTGAATCTTCAAACATAAAGAAGTTTCTCCCTAATTCAATTGTTCATTTCAGAATAGGCTTTCTGGCTGAGTGGTTCCCAGACACAGCTGGTATATATCTGGGGATTTTTAAAAATAAATTGCATACTTCCAGATACTACCCTGGACTTCCCTCATCTGAATCACCTAGGGATGCAGTATTAGAAACTTATATTTTAACAAGCTCTCTAGGTGATTTTTAAGTGGCCATACCTGATCAACTGGGGACTACTGATCAATCAAATTCTTCAGTTAAGAAATGAGAAAACCAAGCCTCAAAGGTTCTAGTCTGGATAAGGCCACAGGGGCTCTTGTAATAACTACCCTAGGACTCTTGTTTGCTCATCCATTTATCATGGAAGGAATGAGGTGTATGCCACAAGTTCCATAAATAAATATTTGCAGCTAAACAAATGTTTAACAATAAGATTTTGTTTAAAAGATTTTTAACACGAAAGTCAAACTGTTTAATTTTAGAACTTCACCAAGGTGTGGATAATTGGTAACATTTTAACTTTTGCAATATTTGTGCTATTAACAGAAAAAGAAACTCAAGATTCCTTTAGCACCTAAGAATGCAGGTGGATCTTAAGACTGAGGATCACAAAAGCAGTGCTAAGGAGTTGAACAGACCATCCTGCTTCAACCTCATGGGGCTTCTCAGAATCCAATCAATATTTTTAATGTCATCTGATACCTAATTTTCACCTGAACCCCATCTCTGCTAGGCAAGACCACACTAGAGAGCTATGAGATCAAACCTACATGATGAAAATGCACCAACACCTAGCATCACACTGGCCACAGCAAACCCCATTGTTCCACAATGTAACAAACCCAAAAGACTGAATTCTCTGCAAGAACCCAAAATCCAAAAGTCTCAAACCCAAAAGACTGAATTCTCTGCAAGAACCCAAAACCCAAAAGTCTCAAACCCAAAAGACTGAATTTTCTGCAAGAACATTTACAAAAATCCATAACCCAAGTCAGCTGTGAAAGAGAGAAACGGAACTGAACTGCAAGCATCAGAAAGGTGGGGTCTGTGTCTTGCTTTGCTACCATTTTTCCAGTACATACACCAAATGCCAGCATGTAGTAGGTCCTCTAATCAGCATGTGGAATGAGCCAACAATGCATTCAGTAGTGTTTTGTGTTCCACTAAATAAGAGGGCAACAACTCATCTCATGGTAACGGGAGCCACAGATCAGAGCAGTTACAGAGTACAAGGTTTGAAACAAAACCCAGGCTTTATCTTTGTTTATTGTAAGCTAGTCTCATGCTTGACCTCTCTAAGCCATAATTTCTTCATCTATAAAACAGGGATAATCCACCTAACTCAGAGCACTGTGAAGATTAAACAAAATATATATCTATCTAAAGTGCTAAGTATAATTACATAATTATTTGATAATAGCAACTACATTGTAATTAGGATAAAAAATGTAGTAGGTTTCCCAGATACAGTTTCTGCTACCGCAAACAGCAGTGAACTCAACACAAGGGACCTTTCTCCCCTTGCCAAAGCAATGGAAACCTAGATTTAGAACATTCTGGTTCAAAATTAAGATTATAGGCCACAAAACAGACTGTCCACAACCCACATCATGCCCCTGGATATTACTGCTATAAATATTTGAAGGGATTATTTTACAAAAGTAAAAGCCCTTGCAAACATTCAGATTGTACGGCTAGCTCAGCACAGACATCTCAAGCAGTTTGCAGAGAATGTCTCTGGTGCCCTCAACGATAGTAGTCTAACTCAACACTGGAAACTCTCAGGAAAACACTGACAGAGGAACACAAGGACAACTTTAAGGGGAGTGGATAATCAGCAATTAGAATGGGAACTAGTCCCTGTAATCAGCAGTCACGTGGTAGAAACTCAAGGGGAAACCTGAAATTCACTGGATTATGGACAACATCCATCAAAAAGATTTGCTGTTACAACTACAGGGCGATCGATGCTTTATGTTGGTGTAAAAAATGTTTCCACTATGACCAGGATTTGGTTCTTCTATTTCCAATTTCTATCTATAGAGATCTGAGCTAAGTGTGAGCCATACTCTCTCTATATCACATACCTAAAGCCATGTTATAACTCCGTCTTGCAAAGTCAACAACATGGTACTCTCCAGTAAGATAGGCAACAGTAGAATCCTCTCGAGACTTATGTTCCCCATGGATAACGTTAAAGAACGATGACCTATGCAAACCTCTTGGCCAGCCAAAGAGGCATCCATCACTATCATGATTCAAAGACATCTCATAACAAGGGATTTATAAATCCTTTCTCCTGACCCTCACCACTGCTATATATAGGCCTAACAAGAGTAACAAAAGAACATAAATTTTCAAAAGGTTTCAAGATTCTGAATATTTTATCACACTCATCTTTTGAAGTCCCTTTTTGCTCCATCACTTGGCATTAGTGACAGAGCATGAGAAAAACATTGTTTCTAACTATTGATAGTTCACACTCAGACCATGATAAATATGCCCTTTGGGGCTGTAACAGTCTTTTATGAATAAACTCTGTCCATCAAAGGAATGTGACTTTTAAAAATTCAATTAGAAATAGATCACTTGAGAGGGAGCTATAAAAATTATGTAACAGTTAGGAACCAGCCATAAAATAAATTCAGCAATGAGGAGGATGTGGAACTAAAACAGAATCACCAAAGATTCAGGGTAGCATTACAGCCACTTCGTAAAACTTGTTGGTAGTCTCCACAAAGCTGATCCTATGCCTACCCTTCAAACCAAGAAATTCTACTGCTCTAAAATATACCCCAAAAGAAACTGAAACATGCATTTGTTCAACAGTTTGTGCATAAATGTTCATAGACTCATCACTGCCAAACTCTAAGCAACTGCTCCACTATGATTTTTTTAAATTTTATTTAAAAGGAAAAGGAGAAAAAAACAAAACAAAACAATAGCGGTGTAAGGGTACAAGTAATACAGAACTACAAAAAAAAACAGTAAGAAATTAATAGATTACACATTATCGTCTTAAGAGATAGTTGTTCAAGTCACAGTATCAAAGCATACAAAGTGAACATTCAAACAGAGAGACTGCAAACAGTTGTGTTCAATGATCCAACCAAAAATATTAACATGGTCAGCTATTTAACACCCCTAAACACACTTGCAGTTGTATCCCTTAGAGCACTTTCTTTCCCTCTCCTTTTTACAACAAAATTTACACATTTTGGGTTTTATTACTCCTTAGTTCTTATTACTTTTTTTGGAAGAGAATAAAGTCAAATATGGCAAAACAAAACTGTCAGTCAAAACCAAGGATAGACATAGTACATGATGTAAGAACAGAGTACAAGGTTATCAACAATGGTTACCATAATGTCTCTTGTTTCCTTAAAAAGAATTGTCTGTCTCATTAGGTATTATAAAATTGAACAAAACAGTAGAGAATAAGACCAATAAAACTTAAACATTGTAAACATTGCAGGACTTCCAAAGGAGACAATAGTCAAACCAGCATTGGCATCTTAGTGAATCTTATTGCCTTCAAAGTAGTTGACTATACCCCCAAACTTGATACTATCATACAGAACGGAACAGAGTCTAATCAGTCAAAACAAGATAGTGGGAGTACTACAGGACTTCAAAACAAGTTAATAGGAAATCAAAAATGTTACTATTATATATCCTGCTAATTTTTAAAATTTTTCCCCTTAATTAAAAAAAACATAAAAAATAACTAAATAATTTTTTTAATGAATAAGGGAGAGATTGCGATAAAAGAGGACATAACAACATAACAATACAGGTCACAGCATGACTGTTTCAGCAACCTAGTGCTTTACCACCAAATAAACCGATTTAATAGTAGTTACATAGTGTCTGTCTTTTTCCTTGAAATATTTGAATATAACTT